CCAAGGTAGATAGGTCCATTGGGTGGCGGAGGGTTTTTCACTTTGTTAAGAGCCTATAATAAATATAGACTTCAAGAAGAGGAAAAACCTTTTCAGACCAGCCTTTCTATTGTGTTTCTGATAAGGAAGAATAAGGTATGTGCTTAGCTATGCTACCTGCTTCAAATTCTTTTTTTCCCTTCAAAATCCTCTTAGTACTACTTGTCCACTGTTGATATTTCGGGTGGGAGGCGGGGGAGTGGAGGAAGCAGACATCTCATTGCAACTGATGTTATTCATGTCACGGAATGAAAACTTGTGTGTTACTTCCTGTTAAATAGGAAATAGCAAGCAGTTTTTATGGAGGGATTTTTATTCATCACTGGATGACCAGAGGAGGATTTAAGAAAAGAAAAGGGTATTGGTAATAGCAGCAGGAGGGAGCTGGGAAAGAAGAATCATGGACAGATGATCATATTTTCAGAGATGTTATTATATTCTTATGACTTTTGTCCTTTGAGATAAGTCTGCAAATTCAAACATCTTGGAAGTACACTTGCAACAAACAAGTTTCAAGTGAGAGTTCAGCAGTTGGACTAGTCCTTACATCAGAAAACAGTTGGATATTGAGACAGAAACACCTTGTAAGTACACCTTATTTTTGGTGTCCAGAGAATTTTGTAAATCTTTTGGCATGAAAAAAAGGATTCTGAAAAGAGGAAAAATATTTGGAATTGATTAGGAAATCTTGTCATTTTTCTCAATCCACTTAAAGAACACTCAGGAGTTGGCATTATATGCACTCCAAGCTAATGGAATGTAGATATTTATATATGTTTGTAAGATTATACATACAAATCTGTGAGTGAAATCCTCCAGCTGCTCTGTTGATCAACTCCATGGACTATAATTGAGTTTTGCCTGGAATCTCTGTATTCCATAATAGTCACCAGAGTTTTGTCTGCATGAGAACCAAATAAGGATTCCAGATTTTGTCCCTGTGTTTCTGAATCAATGGGCTACAGAATACTGTTAAAAAGAAATGGAGGAGTTACTATAGAGGGACATATTCAGCTTTGGTTTCATCAGGCATGACTGTTGAATTCAAGGGGCCATGTTCTTAAGATCAATTTAGCTTTGGATTCTCTGATATTAGGGCCAAAGCACCAAATTTACCAAAGCATAATTTACAGCAGTCTGGGGGAAACTGTAAGTGATTGTAATTGCTATCTGTCCCAAAGAGGCCACCCCAGTAACTGGGAAATCACAAGGGCACAGTGGCCATTGGATATCTATCATGCCTCCTCCAAGGTATTCCACCTATGACACGCAGGGCCAGATTGGGGGGGGGGGAGGCTAGCGGGGCAACTGCCCGAGGCACCAACCTATGTGCGGTGCCTGATGGGTACTGTAAGGGATGTCATGCGGCCGGCCGCGCGACACCCCTTAGAGCTACCATCAGACACTGCATGCCCGATTGCAGCTGTAAGGTGCACAGCGCACTGGGGGGGAGGGCTGTGCATGCACCATGCGCCCGAGGTGGAGCCACTCATGCGTCTCGCGCCCGCTGCCCGAGGCACAGAAATGGCTCAAGCCAGCCCTGACAACATGGGTAGAGCTGCTTTGACAGCTCTGTGCAAATTGAGAATTCTCAGGGGTTCCAATAAAGTCGTTTTACCACTCTGGTGAGTCACTTTGCATTTATGGAGAGGCCAAGGCAGGTGTATTGGGGCATAAGTAATTATTCCCCTTTATTCAGCTCTGGTGAGTATTGTGTCCATTTCTGGGGCCCTCAATATAGAAAGGATGTGGACGCATTAGAGAGGGTCCAGTGGAAGGCAACCAAAATGATTAGGGGCTGGAGCATATGACCTACGAGGAGAGACTGAGGTATTTGGGTTTGTTCAGTCTGCAGAAGAGAAGAATGAGGGAGGATTTGATAACAGTCTTTGACTTCCTAAAGGAAGGTTCCAAAGAGGATGGAGAGAGGCTGTTCACAGTAGTGATGGATGGCAGAACAAGGAGCAATGGTCTCAAGTTACAGAGTGGGAGGTCTAGGTTGGATATTAGGAAAAACTATTTCACTAGGAGGGTGGTGAAGCACGGGAATGGGTTACCTAGGGAGGTGGTGGAATCTCCACCCCTAGAGGTTTTTAAGTCTCGGCTTGACAAAGCCCTGGCTGGGTTGATTTAGTTGGGATTGATCCTGGTTTGGGCAGAGGGCTGGACTTGATGACCTCCTGAGGTCTCTTCCAGCTCTATGATTCTATGATTCTAGAGCTTGGCCCAAAGATTGATTGTATCCAAAGCTTCCTAAGTCACTTTTTCTGTCATGTAAAAAGCTATTCACCCTGGTCTTACAATAAGATCCCACTCAAGTCCAATGGGCTTGATGCCAGAATAGTTTTCCATCTGTATGGGTCCCATTGTGTAATTAATATTTTAGAAGGTAATTCCCATTAATCAAAATGTTACTGATGATTATACAATGTGTATTGGAAAATACTATTTAAAAAATAATGCAGGAATGTTCAGCTAAGTAAGAAAGGGGTGCTAATTGTTATCTAGCAGACACCCAGAGTTGCACATTTTTGCACATTCATGCCCTTCTGGATTTTCTGAAATATGTATACATATAGTTTTGTTCCACTTTATCTTATAGGAAAATGTATTCTATTCCATGTTCTTAGTTACGAATCTTACTATTACTCATGGGCAAATGTGCATAACTGTTATTAGCAGCCCAAGCTTCAAACAAAGTCAGATGTGAGTACAAGTCCTGCCAGCCACAGTTCAAATGAGAACGTCAGCTCTCAGATCCCAAAACATTTGCCAGTCTTCATTTCAATTAGAACGAGTTATCTAAAAGAACAGAATTAAACACTGGTGACGTATTTAACTCCCAGTCACATTCATGAGAAGTAGTTCATATTCCCAGAAGAAGCTTCACGTGAATGAGACACATATGATTGCAAACAGAGATGGAAATTAATATTATTCATCCAAATATACACAGTCCTACTGCAATCAACATTTATTTTCAGTGATATCAGGGGGAGAAATTGTTGGGGGAATAAGAAGATAATTTTTTTCTAATCTCCATCTCTCCTCCACTTTCATACGCATTGCAAAAAATGTATTGAATTTTTTTTGTACTGAAAATAAAACAGGCTTTTGGCAAAACATAAACTGGAGCTAAGATCACAATTGGACTGAAAGATTGAACTTCCCTGGAACTTCCCTCTACAAATAGAAAACTAATAGTAAGCTTTTGTAATGGTATTATTTTCATAGGGACAGAGCAGGGCATACTGCTTTTCATTCAGATTTAGTCTTTCACTTATTTTGTCAACTTTACTTGGGTAATGTCTTGGCATTTCCTCAGGTAGGTAGGTTTTTGTCTATCATCTCTCCTATGAATTATCTCCAATTCTAGAATCTTTCTCTCCCTCTCCCACACTCTATGAAGCCCTTGCAATGTGAGCAAGAAAAAGTAGTATGAATGATGTGTAATACACATCAAAACATTGTAAATAACTTCAGACTTTGAAAACACCTTCCAACAATTAGAAAGAATGATACAGACTGTGGTATTTCAAACAAAAGATGCATCGAGCTTGTAACAATATAAGGAATTTTATGTTTCTTATGTGTTATGACTTCCTGGGGGGGACATAAGAGAGCAACTCAGAATGTCACGCAAGTCTATCTGGATCTCTGGGCAGTATGTAGTAGGCAGAGGTACCTGTATATAGTGTACTAAGAATAAACTACAGTTCGATACATAAACATAAAGCTAATTATTTCAGTTCATATTGTTTCAAAAATTTATGAATGCAAGAGGCATTGAAACAAAGCTAAAAGAATTAGTAGTGAATGTCACTACTGAAAGCATCTGTTTTCAGATACAGAAGGTAGAAGTAATGGATGCAGTTTTAACGGTAAGTTAAACTTCTGATGAAATTTAAAATATTATGACAGCAAAGAAGTATATATAGAAATTTTAACCTCTGAACAACTTCAATCAAAGGCATCAACACATGACTTGTAGGGCACAAAAAAGAGCGTCAATTGGCATTTTATTTACCATTATCTAAGTAAATGATAAGTTTTTATAAAAAATACTTTCAAAACTAACAACCACTTGAATCTTTATTTCCTCTATGGTAATTCAATTCATTAAGCATAATGCTGAATGTCTGGACATCATTAACTTTTATAAATATAATCAATATTAATAATCTAAAGTGTCAGGGATTGTGGAATTCATTTGCGGTTTCTAAAATCTGAATATTCAGAAAATATAGGACTGAATAAAAAGATCATTATTTATAATTCAATTATAAATAACTTCAAAACACTGTCTTACATTTAGTACAAGAACTCAGAATGACAGACTGAGGAAACAATTTGATTGGCTAATGAAAAGAGCTGTGTAATAATTGAACTGGATGGAATTCATTAACTTAAACAATAGCGCAAACATTTATAAGCACAACTGTAAGGTATACAGTTTCCATGGATTGAGACATACATATGTGAAAACAATGATACACAATACTGTACCCATCAATACTGTATATTAAACAGAGGTTAAACCAAAGATATATAACCTTGCCTAGAAGTGATATGTACAGTGGTGCACAAAAGCACAAAGGCAGATGCCACAGCATATTTTTTTTATGATGCAAGACTGCTCAAGATCATCTATGGATAATGAACCATGACAACTTTGAATTTGATGAAGCATAAGTTGATAGCAAAAGAAGGCAAGGGAATGCAAGAAGTATTTGAACAGTCAGCAAATGCATACAGATTGGTTTTTGCTTATCCTTGCAATCTGAAATAGCAACATAATAACCATAAAATGTGCTTCCACTAATTCAACATATCCTTGAAGTCAGAAAAAGCCATTTTTAGGAAAAAAAGTGCTCTGCAGGAAAATATCTTGAACTAAAGCATTTCAGAAGTTAAAACATAATCCACAAGGATACCAAACATTTTTTGTGCATTTAGAATACCTTATATGATCAGCATCAATGCAGTCTTCTATTCACAGGGAAATTCTTGAGTTGAAATATGTACCAGTCAAGTTCCAGATTCTTCACTGCTCAAGCTTCTCTTTTCTTTTTCACTTTAAAAAGAAAAAGTGAGAAAGATTCCACTTAAATGCTGTCTGGCACCTTTCTACTTATTATCTTTTTGCTCAACTGCTGTTTAGAAAACACATTAGTTATTCTTGGTTTGTTCTAGCCCCTTCAATTCTTGATTGTGAGAGGTGGAGAGGCAACACAGGAGAATCAGACATAAGATCTACAAAAATGAATCTTGGATGAAGAATTTTATTCCTGTGGTAGGTTGACACTCATGTGAGGTTTTACTTGTTTATTCTATTAATGTGACTTTTTTTATGTTTTCTACACTTTTTAAAACTGAGGCAAATGTGGTGAATTTGCCATTCTAGTGCTGTCATACCAACAAGATTCTTGTATGTCAGCTGATAAAAATGTGAGTAAATGATTCCATAGTTTTAACTTCCTGATCATCCATTCATCTTTCTGCCAGTTTGAGATTAAAGGTCATAATATATGACCAAAATTACGTGAATGTTTATCACCCTCACGACAGCTCTTGACTGAAATAGACTTTAGAAAAGACAATGGAAATTTTTGTCAACTGAAGACATGAAATCCGGGTATCCTTACTTCAGCCAGGGTTGAGTAAAGTCTTTATAGTGAAATGTGACAACAGAAGAATTTGCTGTGCAGGAATCAAACCTTGTTTTGGGCTACAGCCTACAGGTCTTGCTCAGCTAATATACCCAATGAATTCAGTTGATTAACATGGGAGTTTGGCTGGGTAAACATTATGGGGATTGGTATACAGTGTATTGAAATAAATCAAAAGACTCCAATTTATTTTAATAGGCTTTGGATCAGTTTTTATAGTATTTGGCCCTCTGAGCAGGTGGCTTTTCCAATCTGCTCTATAAACACAGTTCACACAATATGGAAAGTCTGCCTTTGGTTTAGTTTTATCAACAAAGAAAACAACCACAACAACATAATGTTATGCTGGAAGGTGTTAATGACTGAGAGCAAGCAAGTCTTTTGAGCTGTGGGCAATCACAGACCTCATTAAAGCTTATGGGCGTGTGAGCCACCCTTCATTCATCCAAATGGAAGAAGCAGTTAAACTCATTTATGAAAACAGAAGCACCCACACCTGACACTGAACAAGAACTAAATCAGACAGAATAAGAGGATTTTCCCTAGGATTGATTGTGAACACAAGGGTTAGGGAGCTGATTAGTTGCAGCTGTGTTTTTCTGCGTGGGTGGCAAAGGCAGAAAAGATCGCATGAGTGAGGGTGAAAATGCAGGCTTGGAAGTTACCAGCAAGTTATGAAAACAGAAGCACCCACACCTGACACTGAACAAGAACTAAATCAGACAGAATAAGAGGATTTTCCCTAGGATTGATTGTGAACACAAGGGTTAGGGAGCTGATTAGTTGCAGCTGTGTTTTTCTGCGTGGGTGGCAAAGGCAGAAAAGATCGCATGAGTGAGGGTGAAAATGCAGGCTTGGAAGTTACCAGCAAGGAAACTAGGAAACAGGACTTTAGTCATTATAGTCTCTATTCCTGAATATTGGTCAACCTTCTTGGGCAAAGGTGCAGCAGTAGCAAAGGTAAATTCAAATTTTCTCCAGAGACTTGGCTATTCCTAAATATCCACCTGCACCATGCTTCCTATCTCAGGTGGTGTAAATGAGTGACTTCACCTAGAAAATTTCCCCTCCCTTCACCTGAGGATCAATATCAACTGAAGATGACAAGGGTGTTTCAAGCAAAAATTCTGTTATAGGTACCCTTCATACATGTCCGCATTAGAGAACTGTATCCAAAGAGCTAAATAGACTATGCTGAGGATTATTAACATCAGAGTTGTGACTAGACCCCTATGCTAGTGATGTATCAGAAGAGATAGAGACTTGAAATGTTACAAATCTAAATAGATAAGGCAGACAAAAGACAGGGGAAATGTGTCCAACTTATTTTTTTCAGATGGAGAACTGACACACAGAAGTTTTCACATTATCATGAAGTTTAAACTCATTCTGAATATGCTATAATTTAAATGCACTTTCCTAAAAATTACTAAACACCAGTATTAAATTTATTCTAAATCTAATTTAATATTTGCAGTAGCTTTAGACTATTTTCTTCAACTCCTTCCTTAGACACTTAAAAAAAATATCTCCTTTTCCCTCCTGCGCCACAAGGAATTTCAAAAAACACTTCATTATTTAAAAAGGATTAAAATGACATTATTTAAAAAGGGTTAGACTGGCATGATTTTCCGCAAATTCTTTTAACAGAAAAGTTTTTCCATTAAAAGCATTTGTGGAAAAGAGCATCTAGATTAGCACGGATGCTTTTTCGCAAAAGCACTTTTTGCGGAAAAGCGTCCGTGCCAATCTAGACATGGTTTTGCGCAAGAAAGCCCTGATCGCCATTTTTGCCATCGGGGCTTTTTTTGCGCACAACAATACCACATTGTCTACACTGGCCCTCTTGCGCAAAAGCATTTGCGCAAGAGGGCATTTGCTCAAATGCGAGCAGCATAGTATTTCCGCAAGAACACTGACAATCTTACATGAGATCGTCAGTGTTCTTGCGGAAATTCAAGCGACCAGTGTAGACAGCTGGCAAGTTTTTCTGCAAAAGCAACTGCTTTTGCGGAAAAACTTGCCAGTCTAGACACAGCCAATTATGTATAAGGGTACAGCTACACTACAACGTTATTTAGAAATAACTAGAATTATTTCGAAACAACTTAGTCCACGTCAACACAGCAGGCAGTTATTTTGAAATAATGTTGAAATACTGTCAAGCTGAAGGACTTCTTACTCCGATTCCTGTAACCCTCATTGTACGAGGAATAAGGGAAGTTGGAGGAAGAGTGCTCTATAATGAAATAAGTGCTGTGTAGATACTTCCAATTTTGAAATAAGCTAGGCAATTGACATAGTTCAATTTGCATAGCTTATTGTGAGTTAAGCCCTTCTGTGTAGACACTCCCATAATCCAAGATTCTTCAAAATTTTCCACAATACATGTGAATCTTCAAAGAATATGCCACGCCAGGAAATAATTACTTTCAACCTAACTTTTCCGTTGCTAAGCAAGGCCATGCTTAAATTCTACCATTTCTTCCTTTCAGATTTGTAATCTTAGTAATGTTTTTGCATATTTTGTATGCAATTTCTGAGATTCAAAGAAGAAAACTGAAAAAAAAAGAAAGCTCCATGAGGCTGACACCCAGAAGGGTCAATGGAATTGGAACCTTTAAATGACTGTACAGACCTCTGCCACGTGGGCTAATGGGTAGTAACAGTAGTAGTTTATTATAAGGATAAGCACTAGAGGGGGTTGAGACACAAACTTTTCCAGTGAGTTTCACAGGTAGTTGCTAGAAGGGTGAGACTTCAGGGGTTTGGCATTTCATTCTAGGTGCTGGAGGGGAGTGTGCTTTAGTGGGCACAGATTCTGCCTGTTCCCATCATCACTGCTATAGTTTGACCCCGTCTGCCCCTTCTCCATCCTGTCCCAGTCCTGTCTCTTCCCCACACTTGTCCCAGTGCCATTCTCCTTGCCTACCAAGTCCCAGTCTCTACTCCTCAGATGTCTCACCCCAGTCTCCTTACCCAGCTATCTCTAGTTTCTCTTTTCAAGTTCCAACCTCTCCCTTCCACCTGACTCTCAAGCCCAGATCCACAAATGCTCCTAGGTGCCCAGACTTCAGGGAGGAGAAAGAGGCCTCCTGTATAGACTATAGACCAGCATCATAACTAGTGGTTTAAAGTTTATGAGAGAGGCCACCTCCTATTCTTACTTCATTCCACCCCGCCCACTGCCAGTTGGGCAGAATTAGAGATGCCCAAGCTATTCTCACAGGAAGTACCTTAGACAATTTACTCCAGGAGAGGGGTTCCCAGTTATGGATACTGAGCCCAGATAGGTATCTCCCTCCATTCCAAACTGAGGCACTTAAATCCATGAGAGGGTTAGATCTCAAGATATGCTCCTCTCATCCATGTATCACTCATTAAAAACACAGGCAATGCACCACATAGCATGCTGCTTTTAATGAATCCCAGTCTCCATTCCTTGCATAGGAACAGTAGACACCTAACTTTCCATTTGGGGATTTCATGATTTTCTAGGCACCCACAAGTTAAACACTTTGTTTAAAATTAAACACTCATTCCCTCACTACACAGAGTATTAATCTCTTTGCCCAGCCTGTCCCAACCCTCACCTCATCAGATTTGTCTCTCCCCACTTCCCTCCCAACCCCCTCCATGCAGGCTCACAGTCCTTTCCTGAAGGTTCTCATCCAATCTCCAGTCCCACATCCCCTCACTGGAATAAGAGCACAGCCCTGATAGGCCTATGGTAGAGAAGAAGAGCGAACTGTGGTTCAGAAGGAGAAATGGGACTATCTTCCCCATCATCTCTGTCTTCATGTCCAAACATCATAGTTTGCCCTCTCCAACGCCTAGTCCCGGTTACTCCCCTCCTATTCTATTGGCTCAATCCCAAACTCCTTGTCCTAATTTACTCCTTTAGTCCCCCATCCCCAATCTGTCTTTTCTCTTCTCTGCATTTCAAATGAAGTGGGGTTTTAAATATCCCTGCTTCACTCTTTTCCGACCAGTTCTGTAAACTTTGTTGCACAGGGCATAAGGAATCGGTCGGAAAAGGCTTTCCTTGTGAACCGATTCCCGTCTAGACTGATGCTTTTTGCCGGCAAAGTGCCACGTCGACAAAAAGCGTCAGCCATTTCTATTCAAATGTAGTGTGGGATATTTAGCATAGTTTAGACACACCCCTAGTGTCCCACCCTGTTCCAGCCCAAAGCATCTGGCAACATCTGTTACAGGGAAAGCTTTTTAAGCCTGTCCTTGAGCATGCTCATTGCTCTGTGTGGGTGAATCATGTAGTCCAGAGATCCTGCATGTGAGAGAAGGGGGGGAATCATGCTTAGCTGCTCTGTGAGGGTAGTACACACAGTGTCTGGTCAACACAGAGATATGAGCACACTCTCTTGGAGTGTGTTATTTCACACAC